ACCAATTAATATATTACAATTAATTAAGGTTTTTAGTTGAGATAAAAAAGTCAATGGCATGAGCGGGATTCGAACCCACGATCTTCGGCTAGATACGGCGCTACTCTACCACTTGAGCCATCGTGACCTCGATCCACTCGGACACTAACTTCCCATCACAACCTCACTTTTTTGAATTTTCCCTCCTTTTTGCCATTGAGGTCACGATAGATTAAGTGGTAGAACAGCGGCGTATCAAGCCGAATATCGTGTGTTCGAATACCGCTCGTGCCATTGACTTTTTTATCTCAACTAAAAACCTTCATTAATTGTAATATATTAATTGGTCAAGCGGACCACGAAATTAGTGAATTTAATGAATTTAAATGAAGTATACTTCACTAAAGCTCTCCGTGCCCATTTCATTTGTCGCCGAGAATCCAATCCTATTACACGACATTTGAAAAATGGCAAAAAGGAGGAAAATTCAAAAGGTGCGATTGAGATGGGAAGTTGGTGTCCGAGTGGATCGAGGTCACGATAGCTCAGGTGGTAGAGCAGCGGCGTATCAAGCCGCAGATCTTGGGTTCGAATCCCGCTCGTGCCATTGACTTTTTTATCTCAACTAAAAACCTTAATTAATTGTCTCTTCGTATTGTTATATTTTCATTTATAAGGCTGAAATAATGTCAAAGAATTTAGTATTTAGTAAGTACTGATTTGTAATTTTTTTCCATTTGAGACATTACACAGTGTAGAAATAGTGTTAATAGATATCATCATAGATTCTTCACTTGTCGGTGTGGTATATTTTGCATTATATTGAGTAATATAATTATATGTGTAAATGGTAAGGAAATGACTAGTTTTAAATGTATCTAGTCTCATTGCATTGGCCTAGTTTGGCTATTTGTTCGTGGTCAGACCGATGGCCATCGAACTTTACTCGCGTGATAGGGTATCCTAGGTCTTTGGCTCGATAATTGGCGAGGAGAGTTTTAGCAAATTCATTGAGAGTTTCTAGGTTTGCATGAGACTTGCAGTATCGGGAGCGTCTAACATCAGGGCAAAATTTTGAGGACTGTATTTATGGGTTCGTTGATATAATGTTGGGGTTGATATAATGGGTTCGTTCATAAAAATGAAACAAGGATTTTTTATGATTAAGGATTATGCAGTTTCGATGCGGCAGATATCAGGCTCAATCCAACAGTTCTAGTCTGTCAATCTTCGCTTTGGTGTTAAAAAGCAGACTTTTATTTTTAAGGAGTATGTCAGTGCTTTTTAAAGTAGTCGTGGAAGTACGTGACAGTTTAGCCGTGAGGATTCCACATTTTTACGTCAAACGTTTGTTCTATGTACACCTTGACCTTGGTTGGGGATATTATTGAAGTAAAAATGAGAACGGATCTTTTTGCGGAAAATGAAGTTAATGGGCGTGAAAGACTTTAGTAGTGAGAGGTGTTTTTGAAGGTTTTGAATGAAAAATCAATGATCAATGGATGTCTGGCAGAGATTAGTATGGCGGTTTCGAAATAGGTTTGGAGTTCAGCCTGGTACGCCTGAAAAAGTGTTGGGGCCAGAACGCTCCCCTGTGGTACGCCGGCATGATGAAATTGTAAGGAGAGGGAATTATCAACTATGACTCGGAAAAACCGGTATATCTGGGTAAAAGATACCCTTGCGCATGAGCCAAACTCGATCAAAATCTTAGCTTACGTCAGGATAGATACGATGAACTGTTGGATAGTTAAGTTGCGAAAATCAAATTGGTCAGGAATTAATTTTGAAATAATTCTTTTTAACAGGAGTTTTCTCTAAATCATTTATCAAAATAGGCAGTAGGACTCTATGATGTTCGACAAGCATTCAAATTTTGGATATTGTGTTTTCAAAATAACTTTGAAATGTGTGAACAAATATAGACAAAATTACATATGACTGTATAAATGTATATATAATAAAGATGTTTTATTTAAATTATGAAATTTCCAAGATTAATTTGTCTTCATTTAATTTTTTTGTTTATGTTAGAAAACACATCCATGTGGTTTTTTTAACAAAAAGGTAATTACATTACTTATCTACATTTTTCGAACGGTACGGAAATTTACATCCATCATCAGGATTAATGTTTTTTAAAGACATAAGTATAACAATAATATTCATATTTTACAACATTCTATTTTTTTTTTTTTGCCTGGGGCTTCCGACATCTAGGTCATTTCAGCCCTCAACTAAGTCTATATTCTATTTACCCTTTCAAACAATACATTCATACACATAAATACATCCATAGTACACTCATGATTAATATTCCTCCACCGATCTATACTCAAAATAATCTAAATCGGGGTCGATGAAAGTACTTTTGTAAATATTCCGCCATCGACCCCGAACACTTACTCATACGCTCTCAACGTTCGAGGGGCGACGATGACGTTATATTTCGCCCTCACCACTCGCCATTCACGCTAATAAATACATGCCCTCAGACAAAATATATAGACACACAACACATAAGACATATTATATACAATAAAAAAAACCAATTTCCCATAAAAAGCGGAACAGGGGACCCAGAAAACGGCTGCAGTGCTCGAATACTATTTTCAGATTGAATAGCACGTCTACACGCTCCCTGTAGGGAGCCAAGGCATGACATGTTTCCAGTATGTGGGACACATCGAGCAACCTTTCTCTGCATAAGGGGCACCTGCGCGGGCTTTGGCCCAAGAGCAGGTGCCCGAGTGTCAACCGTGTATGGCCTATTCTTAGCCACGTAAGGACGATTCCTCGTTTCCTGCTCAGGTTCTCGGGGGGCTATCTACGAATCGGGCTCTTGACGCCCAAAAGCCTCTCGGATGACCCGGCCCACTGTAAAATTATTATGTATACATATAATAATTTTTGAGTATACGATAGTATTTAATAGCTATTATTTATAATATAATATCGATAGTATATAGTTCAGTCGTTTTTAATGTTACGCAAAAATTTATCGTATAATCAAAAATTATTATTATATATTATATAAAAATTATTATATGTTATATGTAAAATTATTACACAGGCACATAATAATTTTGGAGTGCAAGATAGTATTCGTTATTACATATAATATCGATAGTATATAGGTCAGTCGTTTTAAAGTTACTCAAAACTTTATGGTATAATCAAAAATTATTATTACATTATTATATGTTATATTAAAATTATTATATATGTAAAATTATTACATATAATATTTTTTGAGTATACGATAGTATTTAATAATTATTATATATAATATAATATCGATAATATAGTTCAGTCATTTTTAATGTTACTCAAAAATTTATTGTATAATCACAAATTATTATTATATTATTATATGTTATATTAAAATTGTTATATGTAAAATTATTCTATATACATGTAATAATATTTGAGTGCAAGATAGTATTCGGTATTACATATAATGTGTAGTAAATAGTTCAGTCGTTTTTAACGTTACTCAAAAATTTATCGTATAATCAAAAATTATTATTATACAGGGTGTCCCAGTTCCTTCTGACGAAACTCAGGGAATCGATTCTACTCTTCGTTTGGAGCAAAAAATGCCCAGGAGAAAATTTTCGGAAAGCTCTCTATTTTGAAGATATTCGTCATTTAGGTTTTTTCAACTTTTCACTGCATTACCACATAAAAACGCTTGCAACTTTCAAAATGTTGAGACTACAACAAATTACACCATTTGAAAGAACGCTAAATTTTCTGTAAGATTCTTCTATTTGCAATAATCTGAATGATATAAAATGTTAGCCAATATCAGTTGGAACATGTCAAAATCACAAAATTTAAAATTTTGGTCATGATTGCACGTTCTACTGAGGTTACAAAAAAATACCTACACTTGTCAAATTTGACAAAAACTTTTTCATCTAATATACTTTACGTTGATATATCCAGGTTTTTAAATAACGTTCTAGTAAAGTTGAAAAATAACAATTGAATGTTCGAAAACATGAGCTAAGGTAAATTTGAAGGGGGTAGAAATAAATCAATTAGAACTCGCTTTTTAAAATAAAAATGACACTTGTTTGACCGGTTGAATGAAAAATGCTGGATGGGATTGAAGTTTAAATAATAATCATCACAGAATGTATCAGGCAGGGTGTGTTACTGAAAGATAATATTAATTAATATTAATATTATTTTACAAAGCGAGTTCTAATTGATTTATTTCTAACCCCCCCTCCAAATTTACATTAGCGTATGTTTTCGAACATTCAATTGTTAGTTTTCAACTCTACTAACTACTTGTGAAATAAAAATGACACTTGTTATAAGTGGATCAATTTGGAAGTTGTAAGCGTTTTTATGTGGTAAGGTAGTGAAAAGTTGAAAAAACCTAAATTGACGAATATCTTCAAAATAGAGAACTTTCCGAAAATTTTCTCCTCGGCATTTTTTGCTCCAAATGAAGAGTAGAATCTATTCCCTGAGTTTCGTCAGAAGGAACTGGGATACCCTGTATTATTATATGTAATATATACAAACCATACTTTTTTATGTATACATCATACAGTGTATGATAGCTATTATATATAATATAATATGGATAGTATATAATAACTTTCATAGTTCAGCCGTTTTTAATTTTACTCAAAAATTTATCCTAAACTTCAAACCACAATTTAAAGATTTATTTTATATTTTGTATATAATATAATAATATTTATGTAGGTGCAAATATCTACGTGTATTTGTATGAATAAATCTTTCCATGAATCAATGAATCGACCTCTCATTTCAAAAATAAACACTATTTAAATATTTTGTTATTTAAAAAGCATTTAAAAGTAGATTAATTTATCTTGAAATCAGTGTATGGCCAGTAAAACATTCAGAAAAAATTAATTAGATATCGTTGTAAGTAGTGCAATCCATTTGGTATCGATGGAGATGGTTAAAAAAATTTTTTAAATAATTTACTGTTGTTTAAATTGGCATAAAATGTGATGATAATAAGAACTTACTTGATAGATAGCAACTTAATATTAGGAACAAGAAAAGGAATTTATCCTTCATTGTTATTCAGCATGGAAGCCCTTTTGACCGAAATGAGAATGGAAACGACCTATTCGGTTGCTCTTCTGCATTTGATGACCACCGAACAACAACTGAAACACGATTTCTTCCCAGCGCTAGTATCGTGTCTTCTAGGTGCAATGCGTTTCGGAAGATTCGGTAAAATCGTCTAAGTCCGAACCGGTCTTCGGGAGCACCTTTGTATGTCGTAATTTATCGCGTTATGCGATAGCGATGACAACGGGCCGGAGACGGATTTACGATAAGGGGTCTCGGGCCCCCCCACGTACTCAGAATTGCGCGCATCTCTTACGTTCTCATTTAATTCGCCGTCGGGCTGAATCAAACGGCCGATTGAGAAATGTTTTTAAAAAGAGCGTTGTCGCAAATAACACAAAGATTAAGACTACAAAACAAAAGAAAACAATAAAAAATTACACGTTTGCTGATAAAATAAGCCTAAATTGAAAAAACTTTTATCGATTTTTTTTAAATTAATCGAATACCGTTTTTCCGTGAATGAATTGTTCCGTTTTCTTTTACAATTATTTTGTTTAAGAGCGATCTAATGATAGCTTCATAAGGTATAAATATTAGTCAGACTGAATGACACCACATCGACTCACTGATCATCCACATCATCACAGTTACAATAATATCAGACAGTCTATCAGTGACTAACCTTTGGTCATTGTTCCTTCAAAACTAGATAGAAGTTTGCTTGCACGAAGCTTATTAACAATATAACATTATACTATCTCAACTTCAATTGTTTTAGGTGATAGCAGAATAAGTTCGGGCATATACTTACCTGTAGACAAAGTGACTCAGTTTAAAACACTCTAGATAAACAAATACATATATTTTATACAACACAGTCAAAATAAATAAGTCTTTTAATTTACAATTATTACAACAAAGCATTTAATTCAAAGTTTAGTATTCCAACTTTGAGATGACCCTAAGTTGTTTATCACAGGCGGCGGGATGAGCTGTTGGTTGGATTTCATCGTCCATCATCAGCCAAGAGCATACGGACTAACGTCGTTCGTATTGATGATAAATACCCCAGAAGCTCTGAAGCATAAAAAAATTCTGGTGTGTAACAAACACTTTGGATCAAAAATTTTTATAGTTGAGTTTATTCTTGGTTACGAGCTTGTAGTTTTTACTTCTGATCTGTTCAGGGTTTTTTTTTTGGGGGGGGGGGTTAAACCCATTATAGCTACTCAAAAGATGGACACCCTGTATAAACTAACCAAACCAAACAGTGAAGATGGCGAGAACCCGAAACGCGTTTGTGACAGGTTTAACATCTTTTGTAGTAAGATACATTTATAGATTTTTTTTTTTACTTCATTTATTTGTATCTACAACTGTACATGTATTATATACAACTAGCAGATTGGATTTCAGATTATGTGTTTGGCATTATGGGCGTTATAGAGAAAGCTACACATTGGCAGCCGCGATGGATTAATGAAATGATATTAATCATTTAAGAGGTCTCTTATCCATATTCTTTTCAGACGTTTACGTGGTAATTGTGGGGAATGGAGTAATCGTATTTGTGTGTTGGTGTATTTTGGATTGAAAACTTCGTAATCTTCGAATATTGGAATACTTCGCCGATCCATATACTTGGCACCCGTACATCCAAATAGGTTTGAGTAGGTATGTGTATGTCGAAAGTTTTGATTTTAATGGTAATTTTGATTGTCGGTTGAGAAGGTAATAAAGAATTTTAAATCGTTTGTTCAGTGTATGTTTTTTTAATCGTGTATGTGGATTCCAAGTTAGTCTTCTATCAAATGTAAGTCTTAAATGGTTAACTTTGTCGGATTGAGGAACAGTTTCATTGTATAAGTATATGCTAGGACAAGTCTCACGACGGAGTGTAAAGGTTGTGACTTTGAAGGATTAAACTTTATTTTCCAAAGATGCTCCATTTTTCAATTGTTGATATGTGGTTTTGTAACATGAGTGAAGCTTGTGTAGAAGAGAGATGGCTTGTTAATATGGCGGTGTCATCTGCGTATGTGGCGGTGAGTGTATTCTCATTTGTGGGCATATCAGAAGTAAAAATTGTGTACAACAGCGGAGCGAGTATTGACCCTTGTGGCACACCTGCAAGCACATCTTCCATCCCAGAAGTCTCCGTATCCTGATTTACTGCGAAAAATCTCTCTTTAAGGTATGATTGTATAATCAGATAATAGGCCTGGGGTAAAAATAATTTTAATTTGTACAATAATCCCTCATGCCATGCTTTGTCGAAGGCCTGAGAAACATCTAGAAACACTCCAGTCGCGTACAGTTTCTGCTCGAGACACGAAGTAATGAAATCAGTCACTCTGTGAAGTTGATGAGTGGTGGAAGGATGGGTTCGAAAGTCAAATGGTCTGGTAAGATGTTGTTCGAAGTAGCAATAGAGATAATTCTTTTGTAAATTAATTTTTCGAATAATTTAGAAGGAACGGGTAACAAACTAATAGGACGATAAGACGATGAGGACCTTAAATTTTTATGGGGCTTTGGGATCATTTTAATGTAAGAAAGTTTCCATTGTATGGGGAAATGTGTAGTCCTCAAAATTGCGTTAAATAAAGAAGTCAGAAAGACGACTGCTTTTTTGGGAAGTTCTTGAAAAACTTCAGCTGTTATCAAATCATGACCAGGTGATTTTTTTGTAGGAAGCTGTCGTATTTCTTGTGATACTTGTTTTGGAGTTATTGGCTTAGGTGGCAAATCTAGGGGTATAGGTGTTACAAGTAAATCTGATATAAATTTATCGTGTTCGGTATTCCCTAACCATCCCTAACCATCTCTAACCATCTCTAACCATTTATAGATGAAATTATAACGCAAGGCACTGTATCTTTGTAATGTTATTAGGCAAATTCTCTGATTGATCAAAACAGAAGGATTCGCATATAAAAATGATAGGAAACGACCAATAATTAAGAAATACTTCTGTCACTTCGAACCAGTGTCAGTTTACATAGGAAGAAGACACTTACGAAAGATCCACATGTTCTCCCATTGGGGTCCTGTTAGGAGAGGAGTCGAAAGTGCAATAGCCGCTTAGGTAAGTCCAGAAATTGGAGCAAGGCTTGGCCAGGAAACCGATTTTGGTCCTAATAGACTCGGCGAATAGCTGTGCAGCCCTCCAGTGACTGCATAGCGAAGGGTCTGAAACAGATAACAATGAACTGCTGAAAACCTTGATTATATTGAGGCTTACTCGTATGGTTGGCACATCCTGGCTGGATAGGAGAACGCGTAACGTAAAAATCTTGAGTCCCACAAGGTTCCAGTTTTCCGTAGACGCCCATGCTCGTGTGGATGACGTCTACGAAGTCCGCGTCGTACGGGTCTAGCTTCAGCTCGTTGATCGGAGTGGCGAAAAATGGAAGAGCCGGATCCAAGCCTGTAAACTCAATAATAATAAAAACTTCCCGGTAGAAAAACAGTTAATTTTTTTCACCGGTTATTCGGTTGACTTTCCGGCCGAAATGCTCGTTCAAGAAATTGCTGGTGTAACCGGCAACGTGGGCCCCAAGGCTGAATCCGACGATGTGGATGTGGCCGGTCGGAGCGAGGTGGTGAATAGCGATCGCTGTGCATTTGCCCACCTGCCAGGTGTTCACCACTGCTGTTAAATAACAGGGCCTGTTGGCCAGCAACTGCCAATCCACCAGAAGTACGTTCGAGACATTAGTTAACAGATATTCTGCCGAAATCGGTTAAATTCGTTATTGGTGTTTTAAAAATGACAATATTTGTGTACCTGACAGGACACCCTCGAGAAAAGACGTGCTCGAAAATCCGTGAATTAAAACTTTAAAAGGTACTGCTGAGTCGTACCCTTCAATTTGAGCGCTGTTCCTTAGGTTAATCCGCTGCGGTTTCAGTTGGCCCGACCTAACAAAATATTTGTCAAAATTCTCTAGAACTTCAAGGTTTTCATGTTCACCTCCAATTTATTGTTATTATCTTAGGTGGATGCGGTTTCTGAAATAATTTTTTAACAAATCCAGAATTTCTTATTACTAATATTTCGTGTATTATTTTGTAGCCTATGTCTTAACAATCCAATATTAATTTTAAGAATGAATTTTAAGAAAAATGGCAAAAAGGAGGGAAAATTGGAAAGTTGGGTTGGAAGTCAAGATAACTCAAGTGGTAGAGTAGCATCGTATCAAGCCGAAGGTCGTGGGTTCGAATCACGTTTGTGACACTGCCTTTTTTATCTCAACGAAAAAACTTAATTATTTGAATGATATTAATTGGTCAAGCGGACCACGAAAACTAATGAATTTAATAAGTTAAATTGAAGTAAACCTTCACTAAAGCTCTTCGTGGACGTTTCATTTGTCGCCGAGAATCAAATAGATTACACGACATTTAAAAAATGGCAAAAAGGAGGGAAAATTCAATAGGTGGGGTTGAGATGGGAAGTTAATACCCGAGTAGATCGAAGTCAAGATGGGCTCAAGCGGTAAAGTCACGGCGTATCAAGCTGAAGGTCGTGGGTTCGAATCCCGCTTGTGACATTGACTTTTTTATCTTAACTAAAAACCTTAATTAATTTGGCTGTGGACAATGTTGGTTAAACATCTCCACCAACTCCTAATTAATGAAAGCTGTAAGCACACATAGCACACCCACAACAAATATGGCACAACCCAAAAAAAGAATATTATACAGGCGAAAGAGGTGAACGTTTACTTCTTTTGTTCGTGTGTATAAACAAAAACTGTCTGGATCCATCTGTATTATCTTTCAAATGACCAAGACCCTAAGGGAAAAAGTTTTAAAATTTCAGCTGTGCTGCCCCTCAAAACTACCCCTTTTTTGAGTTGTGTCACTTTTTTTGCATATACTGGCTCTCGGTAATTTAAGTTAGGTCATTTGCTCTAACGATAACGGTGGTTAAAGAATGACTCTCAGGGTATATTTTGTGATAGTAACAGACAACAAAAAAAACCTAACAAACAAGCATAAATATCCTTTTTAAAGTTTTACTAAGAATATTTTTGATCCAAATGTGCTTTCTTCCTCGAGTCAGGGCTAATTACTTACCTAAAATACAAAATTAATTATTGAAATAAATGTTTTTATTGATTATTAAAAATATTCTAATTAAGACATTAAAAATGTTTAAACTATAAATTTGATTGACATAAAAAAAATCAGTGTCACGAGCGGTATTCGAACGCACCAACTTCGGCTGGAGTGGATCGAGGTCGCGAAAGCTCAAGTGGTAGAGCAGTGGCGTATTTAGCCGAAGGTCGTGGGTTCGAATCCCGCTCGTGACACTGACTTTTTTATCTCAACCAATCCTTACATAAAGATTAATTAATTGAAAATAGTTATTTGGTCAATCGGACCACGAGCTCTAATGAATTGTACAAAATAACGTAAAAGTTAAATGTGTTGTGATTAGTGATCGTTAATCGATAATTATTCCGAAATCGTGAGATGCAGTCTGGCGTTATGTACGTTTCAGAAAAACATCTTTATCGTGCCAACGTTTCGATCTTTATTGAGATCATCTTCAGGGCCTGGGATTTACAAACATTGTTTACATTTAACAAATACATATTTTGTATTGTATAAATTCACTTTTTCCACATCCTAAATGTATTTGTTAAATGTAAACAATGTTTGTAAATCCCAGGCACTGAAGATGATCTCAATAAAGATCGAAACGTTGGCACGATGAAGAAAATGTTTTTCTGAAACCTACATCACACCAGNTAATAATAATTCGTGTCTTATTTTGTAGCCTATGTCATAACAATCCAATATTAATTTTAAGAATGAATTTTAAGAAAAATGGCAAAAAGGAGGGAAAATTGGAAAGTTGGGTTGGAAGTCAAGATAACTCAAGTGGTAGAGTAGCATCGTATCAAGCCGAAGGTCGTGGGTTCGAATCACGTTTGTGACACTGCCTTTTTTATCTCAACGAAAAAACTTAATTATTTGAATGATATTAATTGGTCAAGCGGACCACGAAAACTAATGAATTTAATAAGTTAAATTGAAGTAAACCTTCACTAAAGCTCTTCGTGGACGTTTCATTTGTCGCCGAGAATCAAATAGATTACACGACATTTAAAAAATGGCAAAAAGGAGGGAAAATTCAATAGGTGGGGTTGAGATGGGAAGTTAATACCCGAGTAGATCGAAGTCAAGATGGGCTCAAGCGGTAAAGTCACGGCGTATCAAGCTGAAGGTCGTGGGTTCGAATCCCGCTTGTGACATTGACTTTTTTATCTTAACTAAAAACCTTAATTAATTTGGCTGTGGACAATGTTGGTTAAACATCTCCACCAACTCCTAATTAATGAAAGCTGTAAGCACACATAGCACACCCACAACAAATATGGCACAACCCAAAAAAAGAATATTATACAGGCGAAAGAGGTGAACGTTTACTTCTTTTGTTCGTGTGTATAAACAAAAACTGTCTGGATCCATCTGTATTATCTTTCAAATGACCAAGACCCTAAGGGAAAAAGTTTTAAAATTTCAGCTGTGCTGCCCCTCAAAACTACCCCTTTTTTGAGTTGTGTCACTTTTTTTGCATATACTGGCTCTCGGTAATTTAAGTTAGGTCATTTGCTCTAACGATAACGGTGGTTAAAGAATGACTCTCAGGGTATATTTTGTGATAGTAACAGACAACAAAAAAAACCTAACAAACAAGCATAAATATCCTTTTTAAAGTTTTACTAAGAATATTTTTGATCCAAATGTGCTTTCTTCCTCGAGTCAGGGCTAATTACTTACCTAAAATACAAAATTAATTATTGAAATAAATGTTTTTATTGATTATTAAAAATATTCTAATTAAGACATTAAAAATGTTTAAACTATAAATTTGATTGACATAAAAAAAATCAGTGTCACGAGCGGTATTCGAACGCACCAACTTCGGCTGGAGTGGATCGAGGTCGCGAAAGCTCAAGTGGTAGAGCAGTGGCGTATTTAGCCGAAGGTCGTGGGTTCGAATCCCGCTCGTGACACTGACTTTTTTATCTCAACCAATCCTTACATAAAGATTAATTAATTGAAAATAGTTATTTGGTCAATCGGACCACGAGCTCTAATGAATTGTACAAAATAACGTAAAAGTTAAATGTGTTGTGATTAGTGATCGTTAATCGATAATTATTCCGAAATCGTGAGATGCAGTCTGGCGTTATGTACGTTTCAGAAAAACATCTTTATCGTGCCAACGTTTCGATCTTTATTGAGATCATCTTCAGGGCCTGGGATTTACAAACATTGTTTACATTTAACAAATACATATTTTGTATTGTATAAATTCACTTTTTCCACATCCTAAATGTATTTGTTAAATGTAAACAATGTTTGTAAATCCCAGGCACTGAAGATGATCTCAATAAAGATCGAAACGTTGGCACGATGAAGAAAATGTTTTTCTGAAACCTACATCACACCAGACTGCATAGCGATTTCAGAATAAGTAAAAGTGAAAAGACAACAGTTTTGAAAAAATATGAAAAACACCATTTTAATCAAGTATGTTGTTAAAATAAAGGAAAAGAAACTAAAATAATTCAAGAAAAATCTAAATCAAGGTATGTCTTGAAGAAAAAAGGAAATTCAGTAGTTACAAGTTTTTGACATACAATATTTTAAAATCTCATCATCAGTGCCTACATTGATTTCACGTTACGAAAATCATATTTGTTTCATCGATTTAACAATTGTTTTTCATAATTTTAATATGTGATCCGGTAGAGTATAAAATCCTTCGCTAAACAAGAAAAAACCTACTCGAAATATGCCAATTCTAGAGCTAAGGTGCACACCTAACAGCTAAGTGTCCACCTACACTGAATCATTTTTCCTGTATCATCACACACCAGAAAATTTGAAAAAACTCAATAATCAGGTTTTCAGAAGTTTTCGACTTGTGTAACTTTTCTTGTGGGTGTACAATATACTCCCAATAATTTACCAAGTTCAAAAAATGAAGAGCACTCCTTAATCAAAGCATCGTGGCTCCCTTTGCCAAGAAAATGTTACTCTGTTTAGTGAGGTTGCATTTCAGACAGAGGCGAAAAAGTGCATCAAAGGACCATTGCAGAAACTAGCAGGAGAACTGCTAAAACTAGGACGTGTTAGGACAAAAATGATAGTAAGACTGGACACTTCAGAATCCGGAGACGCATAAGAGCAGAAGAAACAAGCCTGTGAAGATATTACTCTAAAGAAGAACAAACAGCGGAAAATATCCTATATTGGTGCTACCTGAGCTGAGATTCCTACTCCTGGAAGAGAAAAAAGCAAGGAGCAAAACTGGAGCTTAACAAAATTTTGATAAAAAGACTTAAGCTAGACGGTCATTATGGTCTGCTTTTTCCTAGCTCTCTCGATCTTTCAGTCTCGTTTAAGCATTTAAAAAATTATAATAATGGTTAAACATAACAAAATTATAGTAGTTCATTTCGTTTAAAAATAGCTTACTTCGTATAGAGAAAGAATTTAATCTTTTTGTTCGAGTAGCACGGCTCGTTGTACTGGACGACGCAGGGTCCCTTTTGCAACTCGAATTTCGAGTCATCCCTTCCTAAAATCCCGCCAGTTTGAGCGACTGAAAACAAAAATAAATTATCCAGATAAATTTGAGAAAAAATAGATTTGGGATAATTTTAGTTTTTATTTTTATTTACAATTGTATGTATGTGTTTGTGATTGTAAGATTAATTGGATTTTGCAGCTAAGTTCATCCAAATTATCAAACTTCCAAGATAACTAATTCAACATGTAGAATTATGCTGACTTAAAAAATCTAGTGTACTTTAAAAAATAACAAATTATTTCGGGTCCAGTGGTCAAATGGTTAAGGCGTGCGATTCATATTGCAACGCTTGCGGTTCTGGGTTCGAATCCCGACAATGCCTGTGGCTTTGTAGCTGAAATAATTGTAATTAACCTTCGTCCATCAAACCCAACGAGTGGACGTCTAGACTTTAAGCCCCTCATGACTAACGACATGATTTTTTTTTTTACTTTGGTCCAATATCCAATATAAATTCACTGTAACATAGGCAAGTGTCCACGTATAAATGAACATTGGAAAAGCATTCTTTTTAATCTAATTTTATTTATGGCGTCCTGGCAAAAATAGAGCCTAATTTCTTATTTTATAATCACTGGTGGTCATAAGAAATGAAATATCTTTCCGTCCGATTTAACATTTATTATTAATAAATTAACCACTTGCGGCTCGACATGTACTGTTATCAGGGCTTTCGAGCTGTATCGAAGGCACTTCGGACCAGTCCCTTGGCCATCTTCTTCAGTGAGTTGAGAGTGATTGCGCCCGAATTCCGGAGAGATCCTCGAATTACTTGGAGAAGGCGGGCAAATGACGGGCAGGATGCTGAAGAATATATTTATAGGGTGTTCGGCTATTCGTGTTACAAACTTTGCCAGTAGATTCTACATTCAAAATGGAACCAAAAAGTCCTAATTAACTATGGTCCGAAGCTCAACAGTTTCGGAGTTATACTTTTTCTGATTTTTTAAGATTTCACGACCTTGCTTCAAATAAACAATGATAACTCCAAAACTAAAAGATTTTTGACAAATCCGTAGATACCATTGAAAACTACGTTAAAATTTCCAATGATCAATACTAAATTTGTTAACCTTTGTGAAATAAGCGTTTCAGCAGCGAGAACATTTTCCCATCGAGCGAACACACATGACAAACCCTGCGTGTTGTAAATCATCGTAGATGTGTGTTGGACAGTCAATTTGCTCATCCTTTATTTTGATGGCGTATGAAGCGTAGATTTTGATTTTTTCCATTTTTTTAAGGAAATAAGCCTTAACTTTTTGATAAAGAGATAAGAAGTAAGAGTAGAATATTGTACTAAAACGGTGTAGGTTGTTATGAATAGTATGATTTGAAGTATAAAAAGGAAAATTTATAATTTGGCCGATAATTTTAGATTGAATTGAATAGAGTCGTTGGGAAATGGAATCCTTTGTATGAACCCCACACTTCACAAATACGCCAGGAGAGGTCTTATGATTAAAAGTTTGCTGTCAGTGGCTAATTTTGATCCTGCGAAGTAGTCCTTTTAATAATTTTTTGTATAACATAAATACCAAATCAGTCGTTTAGCCATGAAAAGTTCAACATAACGCAGAATGTGGTAGAAAATGAGATTCCATTTATACTCATCGAACTACAGTTGTAAAATTTATATGTACCCGTTTAGTTAGGTTTGCTTTCATTCTCCAATTTGTGAACCATACTGAATTCATTTAACGTTTACATGTGTAGGAATATCTGCAGTACATACTGAAAATAGAAAGGGGCCAAGTATGCTTCCCTGAGGAACACACTTTAACGAGAACCTGTATGGGGTGAGAGTACAGTTCCATGACGGACTCGGCAAATCGTTTCGTCAAATACGAACTCAATTTCCGAACAAAGTCTAAAAACTCGATACAAGACCTGTTATAAACATCCATTCATTGCTGTTTTTGTACAGTGATAAAGATGGTATTGTTAGCAACAGTTGAGTGGTCGAGTGAAATGAGCGGAATCACGATCATTTTTCTAGAAGATTGATAAGGATATACAGAGTGTCCAACTACTCGTGTTACAAACTTTCCCAGTAGATTCGACATTCAAAATGGAACCAAAAAGTTCTAATTAACTATGGTCCTAATCTCAAGAGTTTCGGAGTTAATTCACTTTTTATGATTTTTTAAGATTTCACGACATTGCTTCAAATAAACCATGATCAATCCAAATTTAATTTCTTTTGGACAAATCCGTTTATACCGTTGAAAACTACGTTAAATTTCCAATAAGGTGTTTTCAATACTAAAGTATTAAACATAGGTGAAATAAGTGTTTTAGTTGCCAGAATTTTGAAAAATATATTTTTTTAAGTTGAAAAACTTGTTATAGTGATTTCAAACTACTATTTACAAACCTAGAGACTAGCAAATGTCAGAAAACGTACTCCATTTAATATCCTTTTTAGGGGTAGAAAAGCTTTTTTTAATTACTTTGTTCAAAGATGAAGAAATTGATGAAGGAAAGGAAAAAACCGTGGTTGTGGGAATGGTAAGGTGGGGGAAGGATTAATAATAATAAAAAATAAAAAATTAAGGAAATTTTGAATGAATTTATTAAACGTTTTTATAATTTTAATTCGAAACCAAAATAGTGCAAGGGTTAATTTATTTACCACCACGACGGCAACTTTGATTAAAAGATTATCGTATTATTCTCCGGAATAAGAGAATTTTAAGATTTTAATGCATTCATACAAAATTTCCTTAAGTTTTTTATTTTTTATTATTATTAATCCTTCCCATCTTATCATTCCTACAACTGCGGTTTTTTTCTTTCCTTCATCAATTTCTTCATCTTTGCAAAAAGTAATTAAAAAAGAAATTATACCTCTAAAAATGATATTAAATGGAGTACATTTTCTGAAATTTTCTGGTCTTTAGGTTTTGGAAATAGTAGTAGAAATTCTTAGAAGTAAACGTTTTTGCACAAATCCGTTAATACCATTGAAAACTATGTTAAATTTTCCATAAGATGTGATATTAAACTTGCAAACGTTCGTGAAATAAGTATTTTAGGAGCGAGAACTATGAGAAATATTTTTTTTAAACAATTAATTAAGATTTTTAGTTGAAATAAAAAAGTCAATGGCACGAGCGGGATTCGAACCCACGATCTTCGGCTTGATACGCCGCTACTCTACCACTTGAGCTATCGAGACCTCGATCCAATCGGACACCAACTTCCCATCTCAACCGCACCTTTTGAATTTTCCCTCCTTTTTGCCATTTTTCAAGCCAAAGATCGTGTGTTCGAATCCCGCCCGTCTCATTGACTTTTTTATCTCAACTAAAAACCTTAATTAATTCTAATATATTAATTGGTCAAGCGAACCACGAAATTAGAGAATTTTTTTAAAAGTTAAAAACCTTACTCTGGTGATCCTAAACTACTATTTCCAAACCTAGAGACCAGCAAATTTCAGAAAACGTACTCCATTTAATATCCTTTTTGTGGTCTAATTTATTTTTTAATTATTCTTTTCAAAGATGAGGATATCGATTGAGGAAAGGGAAAACCGTGGCTGAAAGATTGGTAAGGTGGAAAATTAAAAAAAAAAACTAAAGAAAATTTGGAAAAAATTAATAAAACTGTTTTTAAGGTAGGTGTGAAACCGAAACAGCGCAACTGTATAATTATTTACCAACACGACTGCAACTTTGATTAAAGGATTATTGTATTATTATTCTCTGGAATAAAAAAGTTTTAAGATTCAAAACGTTCTTAGTTATCTATGTGATATTTTTCTAACTCTAGGGCTAATCTTTCTAATGAAGAATACGCTGATATAATTTTATGTACTGGTTTTGCGGGTTTAATGCGAAGCAGCGCGTCGAAAATATTACGGAGGGTGGAGAGCATTGCGAATGAAAATTGAAATAACATTTAATAAATTCATTCAAAATTTCCTTCAGTTTTTTTTATTTTTTCTTATTATTAATCGTTCCACCATACCAATCCTCCAACCATATTTTTTTCCTTAACTTCATCAATTTTTTATCTTTGCAAAAATTAATTACAAAAGCAATTGCACCACTAAAAAGAATATTAAATGGAGTACGTTTGCTGAAATTTTCTGGTGTCTAGGTTTGAAAATAGTAGTTTAAAATCACCATATACAATTTTACAACTTTAAAAAAAATTGAAGTCTTGCTACTAAAACTCTTATTTCACGAATGTTTTCAAGTTAAGTATTGATGACATCTTGTTGTAAATTTAACGTAGTTTTCTATGATATCAACGGATTTGTCCAAAAAAATTCAAATTTGGAGAGATCATTGTTTATTTGAAGCCAGGTCGTGAAATCTTAAATCGTGAAACGGACCGACATTCCCTGGGTCCTTCCGGCACCTTAATTATTATTATTTTTCGTCCATTTCATAGTTGGTTAACGCAGAATATTCTAACTTGGCATCATTTAAAAAGATAAATCATGAAAATAGCGCATTTTTGCATATTTTAAGAAACATTCTATAAGCAAAGTAGGTCAGAAAATGGTCTAATGTTGGATATGACCTCATTGTCGCGATTCTAGCGTTATAAAACCTTTTGATAACGACTTCCGAGGAAATCGGTATAAATTAATTGTTTGATGTATAATATCGCGCGACTGGCATTCCTAGTACAGGATCTTACATCGGTTTTCTGAAAACCTGGTAGACCGATTTTCATCGTTGATAATTCGTTTTATAGAAATTCCCGTGCATATTAAAACTGTATTAAACATTAAAATCGGACTATTATTTCCATTTAAAAAAACTAACTCAATTCCTGACAAATAATTTTGCTATATTAGGTATTTTTCTTAAAGAATATCTATAGAAATATTCTATATATTTTATTGGTACATACATCATTATAAAGATACCTTTTTTTTGATGATATATACTCAAAAAAGGAGCAAATTTGAAATATTAGGGAACAATCCATTACAGTTCGTGGTCCGATTGACCAATTAACATTTTTTAATTAATTAATGTTTATGAAAGGTA